CCTTAACAGGAAAGCTCGTGTACACAACTTAACGACTGCTTTTTATGACTTTCCCTAGTTACTGCACGTATCACGTACCAGTTCATCTAACAACCTCACATGTTCACATAAATTCCTTGTAATGAGATCGAATCTGCGACTTCTCGAATGACAAGAACCAAGCCAAGGCCAATCACTTCTGTTAGTAAGATATAATCAAATTATTTTGATTACATCCTGTAACATGAGTAAGTTTATATCAAAACTATAATTGTGTTTGTGCAGAATATTCAAAAAGAAGTGGGACTTAAACCCATTATTATATTGTACTTACAGCTTTTGACAGTTTGTCTGTTTTTGTCGAATTTCTCACAAAGCCATTCGAGAGCTATCTGCGCTAGCTATCCCTAATTTAGAAGTGATAGATTAGGGGGAAAGCAGCTGGTCAACATCAGCAACCACCAACTCTTGGGCTACTCTTATTGAATAATGAAATAGACCGTCACATTATAACGCCTCAACGGCTGAAAGGGCGATCACGTTTTAGTGGCAATGTTCGGACCTGCGACCCATAGATTCAGAGTCGAGTGCCTGAACCACCACATATCAGGCCCATTCATATTTTCTACAGGAAAAGAGTTTGAGATGTTGATACTAAAATTCTATTATTTTATAACAGAAAAAAAAATCACTACCGTTGCCTATTTAAAAACCCTACATTAAAGCACATTACGTGGTCTTCTGTTAGAGTCCATTTTTTCAAGATTACATTTCCAAATTTTAAGTATTGTCCTCTCAAAGTCGTTGAATTGATACTCCAATAGTTTAGTCTCCTCTACACTAGTTCCAGATAATACATAGATAATATTGTTTTATGACGAAGTTTTTTTTTTTCCCAAAAGATTAACTTTTGTCTACATTGAAGTACTTGTCAATACGGAGGAACTACATATACTGCTATATTATTAAACCTTTATTCAGATAATTAACTTTCCAAACATATTCACATTTTGTATATTAAATCATATTTTAAGGTTATCTAAAACTTCTGAGGATCATTAGGAAATTATAATTTTCAGGCATTTATTTTCATAATGAAAAATGCATACAAAACAAAAAGAAAATATGCGTTTTTATATTAGTGGTGAATCTTACAAACTTGGGTAATAATCAATACTTGACGTAGGAGATAAAGTTGTCCTATCTTAGAAGCTTTCATGGACAGTTTACTGTCACTCATGTATTATTGACATTTTTATATAGTAAGACTTTTGTTCTACTCAGAGTGGATTGTTTTAAGTGCTAAATCTTTATTTACTTTTTTTTTGCTGTAACTAACATGCTCTCATAGACAATGATAAAATAGGGCATAGTACAGAAAGTCCATTGTGTAGATTTGTGCTTAACAGCAACAAATCACGAATGAATTATATAATAGTTTTACATTGTCATGCTTGCATAGTAACTTCTGAAGTATTATCGTTGATTTCGGTGTGAGGAAGGGAGAAATTGAATATGAGTTCTACAAATATTTTGTTTTGTTTGTAGTGAAGCACAAAGCTTCCCAATAGGCTATCTGTACTCTTCACACCACGGCTATCGAAACCCGGTTTCTAGTGTCGTAAGTCCGCAGACATACTGCTGTGCCACTGGGGGAGCCAAATATTTTGTTATTATGATCCGTTCATGCTAGTGAAAATCTTGTCACTAGATAGATGTAACTTACATACTCCAAACGAGAAACACATTTATTAAGAGGTGAAAAGGTACCCTTTCTACCGAAGAATGGACACTTTGGATGTACGTAGTTGATTTTTGTAACTTATAGATACTCCTATGTTGCGTACGCCCATTTTTTCAGATACTCTAAGTTTGTGTTTAAAAGTGTAGGATTTGAATTATTTTTCTAAGTTATGAAACTAACGAGTCTTCATGAAAAACACAGTTTAAACAACATATAAGAAAAACGTATATATCACGTTAAGGAACAAGATAATTGCCTATGTATATATTTCAATCGCATGTATTTTTCTTTTCCAACCATCCTAGCTCGTTCCTACAGTATGGAAATATATAACATCTAATTTAATATCTGTAACGTAGTTTTATAGTACTCTTAAATCTTTTCAATCCAAGGCTTTGAATCGTTATTAATTATCTCTTAATTGAATCTACATTTTGGCTCTATTGAAGTAATTAAATAATTATGTAGTTCAATAAAGACTCTTCAGATATTTAGTAAGTTTATTATGAAAATTAAATTTCCAAATATATTCTGATTGTAAATATGTGACGTATCAATTGTATAATTCTGTATGATTGTCGCCATTATAATCTCTTTATTTTCAGTGTATGGCAGGGCGATGTTCACATATATTAAACTTTTTATCGGTTCCAGCTTTTACTTACTATTACTATCTAAGCCATTCTAAAGAGATCGTGAAGCACAAAAGAAAGCAACAGGAAAAATAAAATATTTTTATAGTAATTATATTTCAAAATGGAAGGTAAAAACATATTCTTCGGTTCTGGGAATCATTTAAAGCTAGCCTAATACCAGAAATTAAGAACATTATTTTGAAGTGTAAACTTAATCTAATTCACAAAGTTCTGAATGATATTTATATCTCCTCACGTATACTCCTCATGTATTTCTCCTCACGTATACTGCAAATGAAAATTAGTAATTCTAGTTAAAAAGCAAAGAAACAAACCAATCCAGTAAAGGAACCATCTTACTCTGGTCTCAGTAGCTCATATTGCATGCATTGTTATTTTTACATTAGTTGAACTTTTTATGTGTCTACCCGATCAATGCTGTATAGCTTATCTCATAAAAAACACAAACTTCTTTTTTTCATCTTTATAAAATAAATTTGTTTGAAAGCACTCTGTGAAACTGAAGTTATCTCTTTGAAATCGCCCGCCAGTGGCACAGTGGTATATCTGCGGACTTACAAGGCTAGAAACCAGGTTTCGATACCCGTGGTAGGCAGAGCACAGATAGCCCGTTGTGTAGCTTTGTGCTTAACTACAAACAACAACAACTCTTTGAAATCCATAGTAGAATACCTACAAACACTAAATCGAATAGTTAAGTTTATTTGATTGTTTGAAGTTAAGCACAAAGCTACACAATGAGCTATCTGTGCTCTGCCCACCAGTTAATGATTTTCTCTGTAAAAAAACATTCCATGCATTTTTTGATACTATAATTTCTTTAACATCTATTATGTTTTAAGAATAAGGCTAGAATATAAAGAAAATGTGTTACAAACTATATATTAACATTTCTCGGGCATTTTTTACTTATACTCAATAACATATGACATTAATTATGTGTGACCAATTACTCTAAACATGAAAAAAAAAGATTTGGTCACTCATACAAAAGTATATTTATATTTTTTAAATACCAGCATTATTATTATCTTAATAAATACTGTTCGATTTGAAGATTTCCTTCTTCTTTATACGTTTCAGGTTTTCTAAGTAACGATAATCTTCATAACACCACGTAGGCTCGTAAACTTTCCTGTTTGGTGAATAACACTACACTTAGCGGACGGTATGTACTGGGCAGATATTCTGGTGATTGTTCTGTACTTTCTTGTTGTATTAGCAGTGGGAGCATGGGTAAGTAGATTGTTCAGCTATAAACGTATTGGGTAAATATGTATATTAATAATTATCAGGTGTTGATCGAAAGAGAATTTATTCTTATACGTGAAAACTATGATTCCAAGTTCTCTCATAGAATAAGATAATACTGCAGTTCTATCATGTGTGAACACACAATGCAATAATTTATAAATAAAACCAATGTCCCAATCTGTGTTAAAATATCTTAATTGTTATAAAGGAAAACCAAAGTAAAGAAAACATAAACTGATAGAGATGAATGCTCTGTTGACATGTGATACATATTGCTCTAACTTTAAACGCAGAGTGAGCCAAAAGTCCACATTGTCACTATTGTTGCGAAGTGGGTGTGGAATATCGAAAATCCGCTGACATGTGGTGTTTGGGGATATCAGGGGCCATTTGTTACCTCACATAATGCCACAATATAAAGGTCAAATCAAGGACAATGTGATATCTCTGTAGCTATTATTCTGAGGTAAAAGTGTGTCAATTCAAAAGTTGTAGCACCTAACGATATAATCTCGAAACGACTTTTTACTTTGTAAGTTTCGCATAAATTTGGATATTTCTTAAATCGGAAATATTTCACTTGAATGCAGAGTGAGTTAGAAAATTATGTACATTTATGCAAACAAGAGATAGCATTTAAATGACTTTGAGTTGACCTTTATATCCTAACATCATGTCTGCTAATAAATGGCCTCTAACATGCCTAAACACCCTATGTCAGTAATTTCGATATTACACAACTACTTCACAACAAGGAAGTAAATCAGGACCTTTGACTCACCTTGTAAATTTGGTGGAAATGTCGGTTATAATATATATTTAAATACGTAACGTTATTTTGTCGTCGTATATTTCATTTTCGTAACTTATTTTGAACTAAAGGATCTACCCAAGACGTAGAGATGTATTTCTGAACAGCGTGTTTGGGACATATTGCTACTCTGTTGGCATGCTTGTAACGCCTTTTTTTTTTCTTATCAGTTGTACTAATTGGCTATCTCTATTATTTATTAGACTACTGGTAGTTTGAATAGCACTAGTTTTATGTAACGTTGAGAGCGGCGAATAGTTTCTTCTGCATTTAGTTATTATTTGTGTTTAACGTATAACAGTAAACCATCAAGTTCCCTTGCGTTTAATGCAAGATAATGCTAACCCATTCTTGATCAATGCATCAGTAGTCTATATTTTTAATTTACCTGTTGCATTGTTATTTCATTCGGCTTATCACGTTTGTAAATGTGAACTTCGTAAACGCTACTTTTAGATAAAAGTACAATTAGTTTGTTATTTTCTAGAAGTCACCAGGTAGAATATGGAAAATACAGGATTGTCGTTTACCTCTAAACCATCTAATAAACATGAGATAAAGTAGGATACAAAGAGTGAAGTATAAAATACAAAATAATCACGTATTTTGTGTTTAATGATTAGATCATGAGCTCTAAATGTTACTTACCTTCTAGTATAAATGATTTAACATGTTACAATTGAAATAACTGATTTCACCATTCCATAATTAGGTTAGAATATATCTGTAGTAAGATATATTGTACAGTAATTATTCTAAATTGCCATGCAGCTGTTATCCATGGAGTTATGGTATTCTTGTCGAAAGTTCGTAAATGTGTACCAATTCTTTTGTTTCGGTGTAAATTACATGCGACAATAACTATCTAATGAGTTGGTACCATTTTGGCCCTGCATACCAGCTGAGTGTTGCTGGGATAGGGAATGATTATCTCAAGAGGTGACAAATGCTTGTACAAATTCATGTAGGTTGAGGATTTTGTTCCTTGAATATATCATTTAAAATAGTCGTTGACATAAGTGATGTTATGGATTACGTGTGTGGTATGCAGGCATACCATGCATTTCCTATTTCCATAGTTCTTATTTTCAAAATTTCTGTGCACGTTAACAAGTATTCTTGATATAGAATTTCAGTCCATGGAGCCAGTAAGTTCATATCTTGTGGGAAATATTCCTGTAACACTAAATATACATTTCAGCAAAAGATAGTTATTCATTGGCAAGTCAGGTGATGCCCTAGGAATACATCCTTTATTTTGTAGTGGGAAGAATGACATTGATCTTATTAGTATATAATGCTGTCTGGAATAAGGTGATTAATTTGATTCAAATATCCTTAATATGCTTTGAACACACTTGAGAACTCTAGTAAAGATGCACAAAATATACTTTATTTTGATTGTGGTAGTAAGTAAAGAAAGATTGTTTCACTGGTCACAAATTAAGGATCAGTCTTTCATTGCTTCAGACTCAGACAAGGTTAAGATAATGCGGGTTTTGCTCCATAAAACATTTTAGGTGATCCTTCTGTTATTTTGTAGCTGCTACTTCATAATTCGAAAGAGAAATCAATGAATTTAAGAATACCACAGAGTAGGTAATAAGGAGAATATTTTGTACAGTGAACAAGATATGTTCTAAAGAAATAGTTTTGATATTCCAGTTTTTATTAGTG